CACCAACCAGAAGGTGACTTCTCTTTTTGCGTACCTTGTTCTTCTTGTGCGACTGATGTGTGATTCCTGGTTCCCTATTTCGCCTTTCCGAAGTAAGTTCTTCATTTTGGACCACGATCCCCCGCTTATTTGAGTCATCATTATCACAACTACTTTGACCTGTCTCTTTAGTGTCCCCATTAGGGTCTGCAAGGGAGCTGTATCTGTTATGCTGGGTCACAGCAAAAGCTTTGTGTTTATGGCTCACACCTCTCACCCTGCCAGATCCCATGGTTGTCCAGACTGCTTTTCTCCTGCGGGATCTTTGCGGTAGGGTGGGCTGATAGCGTGGCATCTCCGTAGAGTGGAATGGTAATTTCAAGCGCACTAATCCAGAATGTATTATTATTATTTTGGTTTATGGACATATGATTTGCGTGCCATTAGGCGTGCGGGCCACTACCTACTCCTCTTTTTCTCTCTGCTTCCCCCCTTCCAGCCAGCAGCTCCAATCACCAGCCACAGGAAAGTTCAAAAACTAGTATATTAACTGTTACTTAATTGATGCATTTTTTTTAAAAGGTCAAAGCTATTCTGATGGTTCAGAAAAGGCCTTTGATATGGTTCAATGATACTTTTGAAATAAATGTTGCTTCAGTTCAAATTTATTATCTTTTTAATAAGCGTATCAATATGTAAACTCTACTCCTTTCTTTAGTAGTAGTTATTTCGTTATTACAAAAGGAATGGACTTTTGTATTTTTCAAGATGATTCATGGATTGCATTAAAATATCCTTTATCTTCTCCTATTTTTAACTTTTGGAATTATTGGCCTATTTTATCACACAAACAGAACATTTCTGAATACTTACTCTTAAAATATCTGTCAAGCTGGCAAGCCAAAGAAGCAACAACCACACAGATTTCAGAAAAAAACATTTTAATGCTGGTCTGAGATAAAAACATAATCTTAAAAACTTTATCTCCAGTAGAAAGTTAATTAAAAGGGAGTCTTTTTAAAACACTTTCTTGCCACTGTTCTATCATCTGAACTGGATTGTCTTTTCTCAACCAAATTGTGTTCCTTCTCTGCTTCCTCTCCATAGTCTCACAACCCCCATAATGTGCGTCAAAAACAACAAAATGTATTGATATTGTGTAAGTTTTGTTACTAATATATTTATCCCTAAGAGTCAGTGCTGACTCTTGGAAGCTACCTAGTTTTCTTGGGAAGATTTTCAGAAATGGTTTGCTACTGCCTTCCTCCTAGGGCTGAGAGAAAGGATCTGCCCCAACGACATCATGTCTAAGATAGAACTAGAACTCATGGTCTCCCAGTTTCTAGCCTCACAGCAAACCAATTATATATTGAATTATTAAAAAATATCTAAGTGTAGTCATATCAAGGAATCTTATTTTTTGCTGTATTTGTGGCTATAAATATTCACATAACAAATTATGTAATTGACACAATTAATAAAAAAAACCCAATTGATTTGATGGAAAGGATAAATGCTGCAATTATGATTATTTCAAATTTGATTGATTTGGAAGCATTCCATGTTAAGATGCTAATTCCTTTAAGAATGTAGCAGAACCCTAGATGTTATCTAACTTTCCCAAGTCTCAGCTCCATTACCTGAGAGACCTCCTCCTGCCAATTACCTCCCGAAGACCGATTCGATCGCACAGACTTGGCCTTCTCCGGATTCCATCCGCCAGCCAATGCCGGCTGGCGACCCCCCCCCCGGGGGGGAGGGCCTTCTCTGTTGCAGCTCCGGCCCTCTGGAACGACCTCCCCGTTGAGATCCGGACCCTTACTACCCTCCTCCAGTGATGAAGCTCCCACAACTTCCGAAGGCAACTTCT